ATGTGCAGGTGCGCGGTGCCCTCCAGCGGCAGCGGGACAGAAGGCACGCAGGGCACGGCCGGGGTGTCGGGCAGGAGCCCCGCGTGTTTCCCGCACCCGCGTCTGCCTTGCCATGACCGTGCAGCGCGGTCACTTGTCCCTGCAGGGCTGGCTGGGGATGCGGTCGCCCAGGAGAGCACGGCTGCAGTGTTTCCACGCTGCAGTCAAATCAAGAGACGAGGTGTTGTTTCATTTCCAGCCTCCCCCTGCTTGCCTACCTCCCTGCAGCAAAGAGACCTGATGTCTGCATTGTGCAGCAGGGACTTTGTTCAAGTCGAAGGCTTCCCCACACGGATGCTGCCACCACTTGGCCTCCAGCAGCCATGGAGAGAGGGCCTTGGCCTCCCTCTCTCTTGTTCCAGTGACGTTGTCCCGGGATTGTATGTGATGTAGGGCCAGTGATGGTGATGGGATGGAGGTTCTCCAGGCTGCAGCAAGAAGCTCAGACTCACCAGAGGGTTTAGGAACTTGCTCAGCTCCCCCATGGCAGGGAGCTCACATCCCTTGTGCTCTGGTTCCTCCTGCTTGTGTGGGGAACAGGGGTTGGCAGCACCGTGGCAGTGAGAGGTGGGGGTGAACTGAAGGGGGCAAAATAAAAGGGAAGGGGAAATAAAGGCTCTTCCCAGCTGATTTCAGACGAGTCTAACCCCAGTCGTTTGCTGCCTAGAGAGAGGAAAGAGGATATGACACCTCAGCTGCTCTCACTTGTGTCGAGGCTTTGCACGCTGCTGACTGGTTTATGGGGGAGCAGTTGAGTTTACAAGGAAGTGTGTAGATGCAGAATTACCCAGGCAGTTGCTGTGAGCTGGTACACAGTGCTCTGCCACGTTCCAACAGTGCAAGTCAGTGTGAGTATCTAAACAGTTTGTCAGGGTTTGCTTTATTATTATTATTTAGGGGTCTCTCTTCACTAGTTACTACCAAAGAGTGTTTGGAGACAGCTAACTAGCATATGTCAGTTTACAAAAAAGCAGTTGTTTTAATTCATGGCCCTTTCTCCAGCAGTCAGCAGGACGCCTTATTCATTTGCCAGCAGGAGGGTACATCTATTTCAAAATGATTGAAATATTACTCACAGCTTGAATGAATGTTTAAAATAAATACAGTAGAAGAAACATGTTGTTTGTGAAATGAGAAGATAAATTAAGTTTAGTGCAGACACATTATTCACAAGCCTAGCTGCTTGGCTAACACATTCACAGATAAATCCTCTGGGCCTTCCTCCAGTGAGAAGTGCATGGTTTGATCTCTTCTTCTGAGGACACAGGACTTTGCTCTGCATTGACGAGGCTGTTGCCTCCTTGGCATGTTCCACTGGACAGGACTAATTGCTGCTCTGACAGCACGGGCTGCAGACAGGGAGGGAGAGGAGAACCATAAGGCTCTAGAAGAGAGTTGTGGAGATGTAAAAATGAAACACTGTCACGGGTAAAGAAATTAGTCTTTGTTTTCCAGTATCGGGTCTGTGGTTCCCTTCAGCCACTTCTGCTCAGCAAGATTACATTTATTTTCATCCTTTTAACTGAACTTTCTTTTAATGGCAGTAGAGGTGACAGCCCCCGAAATAGACTTCCTGTAGAGTCTGTCCTGAGTGGCACTGTGTGCCCCATGTCTCCAGATAACCCTTTTCCCTGCCCTGGGCCTTTATCTCTGTGGTGACAAACAGCCCTCTCTGGACAGAAAGAGGAAATTCCACTCATTGTTCTGCAGCTGGGCCCTGCCTGCAGTGCTCTGTCCCCTCTTGCTGCACCACTGGCAGGCGTTTCCTGAAGTGACAATCAGCAGCAGGACCATGGCAGGAGGGCTTCATTCCTAGGTTCCCCTTTAGGTCCCAGTATGATCCCCCTCTAATGAAGCTTTATGGCTCAGCTATGGCCCTGACAACTTTGGATATACATCCCTCATATCTTCTCTGTGCAGTAGCCAGACCTGCATCTGGAACACCAAACCATGCAAATGACTGCACTCTACCTTCCCTTGCTGTAGGCAGCACAGCTTGCTCTTGAGGCAGATGTAGCTGAGAATAGAATGAACAACAGGTAACCATCCCTGCAGTGAGCTCAAGTATCTTCTGTTTGAGTTCTGGCAGGGCTTCATACCTCTAGACATGAATAATGCCCCCTCACACTTGTGCAGTGGAAGCACAGGGGAGTTAGAAAAGCTGTGTCATAAACACAGGGTTAGGGTTTTGAGATGGCTTTCCAAGGGCAGTGCCTGGAAGTGCATTCTTCAGGGACACTCTAAACTTTGGAGGATGTACATCACCTCTTGGACAGGCACTGGAACAGTATCTGGTAATTCTTTCCCTGCCTCCCAGCACTAACAACCCAAACCAGCTTTACTTAATGGAGTCTTTCCTGTCTTATTGCATAGCTGGTTGGACCTTTTAGATGGATTTCCTATTGCCTTGGGTTTTTGAACAATGAAGACTATCTTTCTACTTCTATTAAGGTTATCTTGGTGCACCTCTTGTCCCAGGGGTAAGGGGTATCACTTGTGAGCCCTGAATACTGCCAGTGCTGCTTTCTAGGGAAGGTTTACACAGGGCAACTGCACAGGAAGCCTAGGAAGGAAATGTGGCAGCAGCTATGAAAGGACTGAGCAGCACAGTAGCCTTTTGGTTCAGACAAGCCTGTGACTCCAGAGACTTCGTTTCCCTTCCCTGCTCCCTCTTAGCAGGTGCTGTGGATGGGCACTGATCCCTGGCTGTGCTTTCATGGTGCCATTCAGAGTGGAGGAGAGGACAACTGGCCTTCCAAACAGAGAATCTGAGGTGCAGTAAAGGTTGGAGGGGCTCAGGTGCAGTGGTGATTGGGACTGTAGAAATACTGTTTCAGTTGGCAGTGTTACTTTGCAAGGCTGCAAAACCAGTACACTTAAGACACTGGGCAATGGATGTGAAATACCTTGAAGGCTTTGCTGGTGGTTCTTGCATTACGTAGTTTTAGCCACAGTGCAGCTGTTTCTAGTAACTGGTGTGTGATGAGAACAGAACTCTTTGCACTGACCTTTCCAGTTGAAATGAAGAAGGGTGTAGCAGTGGTGTATTGACAAGAGGAAAGATTGAGACAGTTGAGAATTGCCTTTTAAAGTGCTTTAGTGATATAATTGTTCATAACATTGTTCTTTGTACAGCATAAGTGCTCTATGTCCCATGTTACAGATGGCAAATCTGAGATACATAATAAAGTGATTTGTTCTGAACCAACAAAGAAGTTGATCCTACACTGGGACTGAGACCTCAACGTTCTTGGTTCTCAGAGTTTGATTTCCATACTCATATTATGTTCTTTTGCAAAATAACTTTGTCTTGTCTTTGTTTGACCTGCTTAATTCTCCCCTTTTTAAAAAATCTACTCAGTCCAGCAGCTTTTAAAAAGATGCTTCCTTTTTATCACAGTGTTGAAAATAGATGAGCTGAATTACATCACTGGAAAGGGTTCCCAATATTCGCTCTCTTTGCTCTGCCACTTCAACTCTCAGCAAAAGAAGTAGTTGTGGGTGGGGAGGGAGGCTACAAAGGAGTGGAAATTCACCAAAGTTACTGAAGCTTCTTGATGTTCTTGAAATTTATATGTCAAAAATCATACCCAGAAAATGTTCACCACTACTTAACTACCATTGAGTAGAACCTGTTTCCTGCAGGCATGCACACTTTGCTGTGGTGAGATGAACGGTTTGGAATGAAATCTGAAGCCTGCTGTTGGTGGGAGGCTCCTCTGCTGTGCTTTTGTTATAACAAGACCTTCGTGCTTCAAAGGAAAAGATAATCTGTGCATGCATTGTGGATTTTTTGTAGGATACATCTAGAGCTGGGAATTTCCTCTCTTCTCCCAGTGGATTTCTCTTCTGCCAGGTGTGAAGCAATCCATGTGTTCTTCTTCTCCTCACTGTGGCTTCACCTTCTTTCTGGATAGTTGTATCCAGCTGTTTCCTGATTTCACAGTTAGCCAGCTCCTGGGGAAGTGGAGAGAAGAGGATCTCAAGGGTGAGACAGTAAGGATTGAGCTGTAAAATTCCTCTTCTCCCTTAGCAGGCTTCTACTTCTTGTCTTTTCACTTTTCATTTTCATTTGGCTATTTTCCCCTGAAAGGAATCAAAAGCTTTCACAGGAGAGAAGTGATTTTATGGAGTTATAGATGCAGCAGGATGGGTCCATCTGTCTTTTCAAGATTCCTAAGCTTGTACCGTCCCTTGATGCTCCATTCCTGTAGGTGTACCAGCCTCAAAGAAAGAAGGAATTGTTTCAAAATGTTCAAAAGTGCTCAGGTGTTCCAGAGCCAAAGAGTCTGGTTTCATAGAGAACTTTGGCAACCAGAAACATACATTTTTGGGGAGTTTTGGCTCCTAAGTCCCGTAGGTTTCTTTAGCTTTGTCTTCTGTATTCTCTTCTCATGTTCTCATTCCAACATCTTTAATATGTCCCAAAGTTTCTCCCCTTCTTTTCAGGCTTTTTAAGTCTGGGAACTTTAGTGAGCTGGACATTCCAACATAGCAGCTTCATAAAATGTCCTATAGGTATAAAAATATAAATTCTATGAAACAATATATATATATATAGTATAGTTAAATAATGTTCTGGAGATCACTGGTATTCTGCTTCTGTTTGATTTGAGGCTTTTGATAAGATAAAGGTTGTTTTAGAGTAAAAACAAACTTGTGTTTCTTTTTTGTTTTACTAAGTTATGAATCCTCTCAAGATTGACCTCATTACCACAAACACTGTACAGTCTCCTGAACATCTGGAACTACATTTTTGTGTCACTGGTTTCACTAACTTCTGACAAGACAAAACCAGGATTGTCATAACCTTTCTTTTCTTTGGCTTTGGCCTCTTTCTCATTGTAGAGACAGAAGGCACAGTGGGGAGTCTCCACAGCCACTGTCTTGCTGAAGTTCTGGAAGTCTACTCTGTATTTCCCTTCTTTGGTCTTGGACACAATGGGAGCAAAGCGATAACCCCAGAGCACCTCTTCTGGGATGTAGGATGTCCTCACTTGACAGGTAGCACTAGTGGCTTCAACAGTGCCATCTAAAAACACCACCAATTCAAAATCCTGCTGCAGAATGGTTTCTGCTGCCATGTGGAAGAACGGACTGTTCTTGTCTATGATATGATAAATAGTCAATGGGGAAATGAAGAAGAGATTCTCGTTGCCAGCATCAACTATAAATTCTATGTTGACCTGGTCCAAAATGATCGTTTCTCCTTCTGGGGTGATCGTGGTCTTCAGAAGTTTTCCATAGATGTGACTCCCAATCAGCAGGCTCTTCCTGAGGTTTGCCACCCGAATGAGGAGGCAGAGCTTCCCACCACGTTTGCTGATGACAGCATTCTTGCTGAAGGTGATGGTCTTGGCCCGGTTCTTGGACCTCGAGATCTTGGCCAAGATAGCACCACACATGAAAGAATTGATGATTACCCCCAGGATAGACTGGAAGATGAGCAGGAAAATGGCAGTGGCACATTGTTCTGTGACACACCTGAAGCCGTAACCGATGGTTACTTGGGTCTCCAAGGAGAAGAGGAAAGCTGAGGTCAGCCCGTTGATGTTCTCAACGCAGGGGGTGTGGTTTATGGAAGGGTTAAATTCTGGCAGGTCTTTGTGTATGTAAGCCACCACGTACCAGAGGAGCCCAAACAGAAACCAGCTGCCTAGGAACGCTGAAATGAAGATAGTCATTTTGTATCTCCACCTGAGATCCAGGATAGTCGTCCATATATCAATCAAAAAGACAAACCTTGCCTGCTCTACGTTGCCAAACTCTATGTTACACCTCCCATCCTTGGAGACCAGCCGTGCCCGGCGCCGGCTGCGCTCGCGGAGGTGCCTGCTGAAGCGTTTCCGGAGGTAGCTGAACATTCCCTCTGCTGCTCCTGTTCTGGGGAGTGAGAAATAACAAACACTGTGGGTAACGCAGGTGTCATTTATACCTGCAGTAGATTCTGACCAAGTCTCAAGGCACTTGTTTAGGAAAAAGTTCTATGATTTGCATATTTTCCCTCAGCTGGTGGGGAAAAGTTCCAGTAAGTACATGAGGAGACCAACAGGTTCTTGCCTAAGGAGCATTCCAGCCAAAAATAATAATTTTGGCTTGCTCAGTGAACTTAAAACCAGTCAACTGTTAATATTGTCCTCTGCTTAGTTGAATAAGTGGAGGCACAGAGAAGCAGGTAACTCCATCATGGATATACATTGGGAAAACTGGTGAGGAGTGGCTGAGTGTTGAGGAGGTCGTTCTACCTTTGAGAAGAGCAAGCAGAGCCTGTTTATGCAAGTGTGTCTACATGGGCATTAGGAGACCCTGGATATGACATGGGTAGGGAATTTAGGAAGAAATGACAATATATGCAAAAAGCATAATTAAGCCAGAGATGCTGTTACTTTTAGTGTAGATAGATTGGGTTTGAAGTTTTGGATTTCAGACTCTGGAAACCTGGGGCTTTGTAATTGTTTGATACTGGTATTTCACTGCTCCTTTACCCTTCCCAATAGAAAGTGACAATAAAATGACCCTTAGGAATGATTTTGGGTTTTTTAGAGACAAGATATAGATGCTGTAACACTTACCTGAAGCCCTACATCACATCAACCCAGGCTTCCTTTTTGGCTAGGAGGAAAATGCTTGGGCTCAAATTGTTGTCAAATGGTCTGCCTCTATTTTGCTTGATTTCAGAGAGTAATAATGTGCTTAAATATCTGTGGCAAGAGTTGTTTAACTCTCTTGAGCCCTAATTTCATGTATCCAAAATGGTGATAATCCACAGGCATGCAGTGGATTAGATATACTGATGTGAGCTATTTAGTATGAAATTTCTCATTTAACTTCAGCTGTTTGTATGTCCAGTAATTGCCTGTGCCAGTTGTGCTGCTGACTCCAGATTGACAGCAAAGGAAATGTGCACCCTCAGAGGGTTTGCTTCTCTTGTCACCCAGTTGTTTTATGAAGGAAGGAACTGCTGTTTGGCAAAGCCTCTTTCCTTTACACATAGACATCTAGATTAAGTTAGAGAAGCTGCCTGATGTTTTAGTTGGCTCAAACAGGAATCCTTCAGTTAGATACAGTTGTGAGGGCCAGAGAAAGCCCTTAGGTATAATCAGTAACAAAGGGAAAAGACTAAATTAACAGTCAGGGAGTTCAAGTACAAATTTTGTAAAGCCAGAAGTAAATTATATTATTTAATATTCTTGTTTGTATCAACAGCCCTGAGAATGAATTTTCTCATGCAGTTGCCTTCTTTCAACACTCAGACACTGTTCTCCTCTGCTCATTAAAATTAGAATGAAAAAAATCAAGGTCACTTCTATTGTAGTGCAGCTGTTTCACTGTTTTAAGCATTTGCTGTTGAATTTATTGGTTGTGAATGTGTCTGATAAAGGTTAAACTTTAAGCACGTATCCAAGGGGGGAACTGAGGCCACTTTCTAAACAATCCTCAAGTTTTATTTTCCTGATGCACTTTTGATATGTTCATGTTAATGCAGAGTTTGAACAAAATTAAAATATTTCTGTGCAGCACACTATTCAAAATACTTGTCTAGTACTTCTGGTGCCCCTATTGTGCAACCACATGCAGCTTCAGCTGTCACTTTCCTGCAGGCATGTGAACATTGTCATCACCAGCACAGTGTGCAAGGCACTGGGAAGCCTCATTCTGCATCATGAGCTGCAGGCACACACCTGGGTACAGGTGAGCTGCAGCACCTGTGCTCCTTGTCCTGGTGAACAGACATGAAGAGGACAAATCAAAAGAGAAATCCTCCTTTCTAATCTACCCATCTTCTCATGCTAGGGTTGAGATAAATTGCTACCACCATTCTGGTAGGTCTGATTCAGCTTTCACTGGAGATCTTGGGGAATTTGACCAAGGATCTGGACACACAGTTCAGCAGATGATAATCACAGAAGAGATGAGAACAAGCTAATCAGCATGGCCACCAGACCAAAACCTTGAAAAGAGATCCCCAACTTCACCATATTTTTCCTGCATCTTCAAATCTTACTTACCCTCTTCAGAGGCTGCTTTACAAGCCCAGCTAAAGCTGCCCCCAAGAAGATCAAAGAGGCAGAAGAAAATACACCCTTCTTCAGGCTGGATGACAAAGGAATTCTCCTTTCAACAGATCTTTCTTGCTCCCACACACAACTGAAATATGTTGATTTGCTTCAGC